ATTGTCAAGGTAACGTACAGGTTACAGTTACTTATGTAGTGAGTACATTTCTTGTCAAACATTGTTACCCTCTCCCTCATTTTTTTCCCACTTTCTCTCCCCAATAAGGGAATAAATTGTGGCTTTAAATTAACCTCAATAAAAATATAGCTCAGGCCGGGTGCCAGTGGCTCAAGCCTGTAATCCTAGCTACTTAGGAGGCTGAGATCTGAGGATCATGGTTCAAAGCCAGCCCAGGCAGAAAAGTCCTGAGACTCTTATCTCCAATTAACCACTAGAAAACCAGAAGTGGTGCTGTGGCTCAAGCGGTAGAGCACTCACCTTGAGCTGAAGAGCTGAGGGACAGCGCCCAAGCCCAGAGTTAAGGTCCCACGACCAACAACAACAACAACAAAATATATATATATATATATATATATATATATCAGAATATTAGATTTTTCAAAATTCTCTTAATGATTAAAAAAGTTATTTTCAAATATTTTTTCAAATATTTGCAGATATTCAAATGTATTTGAAAATACATTTTCAAAATGTAAAAAGAATATAGGATCTGAAAATTTAAAATATATTAAATATTAGTTCATTGCTATTTATTTAATATTTCTTTTAAAGGACTAAGTTTACGGTAGTAAAATGATATTAGATGTTCAGTAGATAAAGGATTCACACCTAGAATATACAAAGCAAATTAAACAAGGGAACAAGCAACTCTATCAATTAATGGGCAAGTGAACTGAACAGACATTCCTCACAAGAAATACCAATGTCTGATATACACATGAAAAAGTGTTCAAAAGCCTTAGCCATAAAAGAAATGTAAATGAGAAAAAAATTCCATCTCAGTCCAGTCAGAGGGGCAGCCATCAGGAAACTGAAAACAGCAAATGCTCCAGAGGATGTGGGAAAAGGGGATCCAACATTCCTGTTGGTGGGAATGTAAATCAGTCTCTGGGAAAATCAGTTTGGAGGTTCCTCAAAAGCCTAAAAATGTATCTTCCATATGGCTCACCATACCACTATTCTGCACATATCCAAAAGAGAGCAAATGGGAACACAAGAGACACCTGCATAACCATGTTTATTAGAATAGCCAAGCAATGGAATCCACTAAGGTGTTCCACAACAGATGAATGGGTGAAGAAATGAAATGAAATGAGATCATTTGCAGAAAAAAAAAATGTATGCTACTACAGGACATCATACTGAGTGAGACAAGACAATCTCAAAAAAACAAAATATCCTAAGTTTTCACTTATAAGTGGAAGAGACCTAAAAAATATCTATACTCATAGACAGTACATAAATGTAAATATCTATATAAATAATTACTTAAATGATTAAACATAGAACATGAATCAACAACCCAGATGCCCTTCAATGAAGGAATGGATCAAGAAAATGTGGTATATATACATAATGAAATTCTATGCTTCGATCAGAAAGAATTGCCCCATTCATAAGGCAATAGAAAGACTTGAATAAAACTGTATTAAGCCAAGTAAGCCAGACCCAAAGAAACTGCTGCATGGTTTCCCTCATTTGTAGTAACTAGAATGTGTCTACAAATCTATAAGTAAATCCAATGGATAGTAAAAGATACATAATTACCCTTAGATATGATTAATTAAACCAGCACTCTAAGCATCACACAGTGAAAACAAAGGAGGATATTCTTAGGAGAGGATCACAATAGCTCAAAAGGTATGGGCATTTGACCACATAAAAAATGCTTATCAAAATGAACTCCAAGATATGGAAACAAGAGTTTGGTTTTTTTTATTGTTGTACTGTTTTCATTCTTTTTTCTTTCTTTCCTTTGTATTATTTCCTTTTGTCACTGTTTTTAATTTCTGGACCCTTTGTCTTGTATATAAGTTTATCTGATTTGGGGAAAGGAAGGAGAATCACAGAAACATGGGACAAAGGGTGAACCAATTCAACTCATTAGACACTGTGCTGGAAATGAACTTTACATCTTTGGGAGATTGGGAAGGAGTGAGAGAAAAATGAAAAAGAAAAGCACTCATTGCCTTACTTATGTAACTGTAACCCCTCTGTACATCATCATTACAATAAAATTTAATTTTTAAAAAAAAAAAAACAGAGGATGGTGCTGGGAAGGTAGCTCAGTGGTAGAGTGCTTGCCTTGCATGCCTGAGGCCCTGGGTTCCATTCCTAATCACCACATAAGCAGAAAAAGCCAGAAGTGGCATTGTGGCTCAAGTGGTAGAGTGCTAGCCTTGAGTTGAAGAGCTAAGGGACAGCACCCAGGCCCAGAGATCAGGCCCCACGACCAGCAAAAAAAAAAAAAAAGCAGAGGATGAATTCCAGCAGGAAAAAAAAGAACATGAATTAAGCAGAGACTATTCAGGAGAAAAGACTAAGGGAAAAATAGAAAATAAAAGAAGATAAAAAAACTGAATCATACATTTATTTTAAGTACATATTAAAGGAATAGAGAGATAGGAGGAAAAAAAAGTAGACTCTGTGGATAGGCAGGGATTAGCAGGATTTGTTGGAAAGAGAAGATAACAAAAGTTTGAATACTTTCAAAACCAATTATTTATAATTGTGAAAATGGAACTAGAAAACTTTTGGGGGTACTATATTTTAGAGGAAAGGGTGCAGGAAATGTGATTTAAAAGGTTAAATTTGACTCAAATACAGGTTAAACATGAATGGTGAGATAACAATGAAATCCCCACAGTAACTGATATAGGCCAATAAAAAAATTGTTCTAAATACATTTCATTCATGAACTCCACATTTTTTTTTTGCTGTTGTTGGTTGTGGGGCCTGAACTCTGGGCCTGGGCACTGTCCCTCAGCTCTTCAGCTCAAGGCTAGTGCTCTACCACTTGATCCACAGCATCACTTCCAGCTTTTTCTGCTTATGCGGTGCTGAGGAATCAAACCCAGGGCCTCATGCATGCAAGGCAAGCACTCTACCGCTGAGCCACTTCCCGGTCTGAATTCCACATGTTTTAAGAGTACTAGATGCTTTCATGCTCAACAAACTATAAGGGAATGACAGAAATACAGAAATAATAACATTTCTCTACTTTTAAGTACAGAAATAATGAAAACATCTTTCAATCTGAAATAGAGTTAAAATATGCAGTTGTCACTTAAGTTGTCACTATATCACAATATCCTTTGTCTGCTATATCACTACAAATTAAAAGTCATTACAAAATTACAAAAATCATACAAAAAATATATGAGGGGGGGGCAGGCACCCATGGCTCATGCCTGTAATCCTAGCTATTCAGGAGGCTGAGATCTGAGGATCACGGTTCAAAGCCAGCCTGGGCAGTCAAGTCCATGAGACTCTTACCTCCAATAAACCACTAGAAAACCAGGTGTGGCACTTATCTCCAATAAACCACCAGAAAACTGAGTGTGGCACTGTGGCTCAAGTGGTAGAGTTCTCACCTTGAGCTGAAGAGCTCAGGAACAATGCCTAGGCCCAGAGTTCAAGCCTCACGACTGACAAAAAAAGAAAAAGAAAAGAAAACAAAAAATATGAGGGGGGAAATGAAAGAGAACAACACAAGGGTGACATTGATCAAGATACTTTGTACAAAACAGCACATGGTCTCCCTGATAAGTGGATATTAAATCCGAAAGGTAAGGTGATATGACAAAATTAACAAGACTTGAGAAATAAAGGACCTGCACTCATCTGGTCAAATCACTACTAAATAACCCCATGCTGCTGATCACATATATAGTATATATGTGCACACCAGAGGGAAAGTAGGAAGAGGAGGACACAGAACTAGAGGGAATCAGGGAAAAACATACAACAGTAGGACTCATCAGCTGCACTGGACATTGATCAAAACTAAGCAACTCAATGGCAGCAATGGAAGGAGGGAACAAGTAGGAAAGAGGGAACAGCTGATGCTATGCAAAAGAAAGGAATGTACATATCACCCAATGTGGAAGAAATAACTGTATTGTCAAAGCTCATAGAACTCATAAACTTTATAGACCACGAGAGACAATGTGTTTGTGACTTTAACTAAGCATCACTATCCCACAATACTGTGAAATTATGTAATCACTTAATCACAATAAAGAATTCAAAAAAAAAGATACTTTGTATACATAACCTGACTATGGAATTGTAGCCACTTTGTACTACTTATTATTTTTCAAGAAACCAAATGTGAAAACCATAGATTATTAAATATATTTTCATTTTAAGAACATATTCTTATAAGTATAAAGGTAAATTCCAATTTGAAAAACTTCACTGCCTTAAGTTATATGAAATATTTCATATGCGTATGAAATACATATCTCCTATATTTGAATATATTATTTATAGGATAGTTGTTTAACAATAGAAAGAGGTCAGATAGTATGTTCAACATTTCATCCATTCATTATGAGATGTGAGAATCTTTCTGTTTTCTTTTCATGCTATCCTTGGGCTTGAACTCAGGGCCTGGATGCTGTCCCTGAGCTTTTTCTCTCAAAGGCTAGTGTTCTACCACTTGAGCCACAGCTCCACTTCTGGCTATTTAGTGATTTAATTGGAGATAAGAGACTCCCACGGGCTGGGAAGGTGGCCCTGCATGAGGCCCTGAGTTTGATTCCTCAACACCACATATGCAAAAAGAAAAAGCCAGAAGTAGTGCTGTGGCTCAAGTGGTAGAGCACTAGCCTTGAGCTGGAGAGCTGAGGGACAGTGCCCAGGCCCAGAGTTCAGGCCCCATGACCGGACCCCAAAAAAAAAAAGGGAGATAGACTCCCAGACATTCAGACATATGAGAACCCTAATGACCTCCAGTTGATTAATGAAGTCCCCAAATGAATTCTGGGGGAAAATATGCAATATAGTACTACATACATTAAAATTTATAGAGTATCTTTTGTTAATTTATTTTTAAAGACAATTACAAAATTAAGTACTTTGTAGTTAAAAAATAATGACTCAGGGAAGGATCATAAAACAAATTAAGCAATTTTAAAGAAAAATCACAATACCTTGTGAAGCATATTTTCTATTGCTCTCATGTGATTAGCAACACATTCTTTGTCTCTAGAAAAAAGAAAAGATTGGGTGTTAATAAAACCCATGTCTTCTTGTGCATTTTACTCTGTCTTTACTATTAAAAAATAAAGTTTGTTGTCATTTTTCCTTTTAAATATCATTTTCATTGATTCACTTCCATCTTTAACTCTTAGATTCACATATATTTCCTGTCCTAATCTGGGAGACAGGAATTTTAAATTAAGAGAGAGAAAAAGAAAATAAATGTATGGCTATTAATCACTTTAAAATGTTCTAAAAATAGTATATGCATATTTTTCATAATAAAAATATTTTAGGTTTTAATGGTGCAGAAATATGATCAATAGCCATACTGAGCAAAATATTTTCTTCTCTATGGTCTTCTGGTGCTATGATAACTGTACAAAGAAAACCCTCTATGACCTGACTTACAATATGTAAAGGTACTAATTTTTCCTATTTACCTGTACACTGAATTCAGCTTTCATAATTACAAAAATGAATGAAATGCTGAAGTTTTAAATTATTTTCAATAATTTACATTAATAATCTAATTTAGATTATTATAAATTGTATTAATTTAGATTATAAATTAAAATCTGTAAGTAATGTGTCAGCTCTCTGAATTTCAAATTGGTCTTCCTTGGTTTATAAGATATGGCCATAGTCACAGATCACAGACACATCAAGGTCCTGAATTAACAATGTTATGAAAATAAGAATCCAGATGTTTTACAATGCTGGTTTTGTTTATCTCAGAATCTCAGTGAGCTGTGAAACTTACCAGAAATTATCTTTTTTATTGTCAAGGTGATGTATACAGGGGTTACAGTTACATAAGTAAGGTAATAAGTACATTTCTTGTCAAACTTGTTATCCCTTCCCTCATTTTTCTCCTACTTTCCCTACCCCCCCAAACCCCCCCAAGTTGTACAGATCATTTCCAACATATTGTCTTGTGTAGCTGTTGCATTGGTTCCCCCTTGTCCTTTATCTCACCATTCACCGGAAATTATCTAGGTTAAGCCTCTTCACTTGATATAAGGAAACTGAGACTAATGACAAGAACTGACTCAAGCATATCTTAAAAATTATAATTACATACACACAATATGGTGGTGCAGTTATATATCTTTACAATTTTTATTTTAAAAACACTGATGGTTTTTTAAATGTATTAATATTTAGGTCTTGCATCAAAATTTATCTTATCACTATGCTTAAACAATAGAATTACCTAGAAGCAAAGCTTATGGATATCTACGATGGCAGATCCTCTGTTCTGTGACTTATGGATTTTGTAATTTATATATAATATTCAAATTTATGATATTTTATGCTTAAGACATTTTCTCAAAGATTTTTAATTAGTATTGTATATGTATTGTATTTCTGCAAATGCAGAAATTGAAATTCCAAATTCAGACAACACTGAATTTATTAAAATCAGACTTTTCATTCATTCTTAACAGATTTTAGGTCATAACGTTGAACAATGTACTGTCTTAAAGTAGTCCATGAAATCTGTTGTGGGGAATAAAAATGCACAAGAGAACTGTTTGATATGAACTTCACATGTATGTCAACTTGACTACCTAGGAAAAGAGAAACACTCTCATCACATTTACATAGCTGCCCACTTGAAAACTGCACATTTTTTATTTGATATATTAGAATATGCAGCTATATAGACTTAAATTTCTCTGAGCACTATGTTTTTGTTACATATTTTAAATACTATGATATTGTAGACTTACACTTGTAGACTTAACATTTTTGTGGAAATATTACTTACAATATTAGTATATTACCAAATATGAAAAGCAAAATTTGGGGGCATTAGGGCAAAAGAGAATAAGAAGTGACAGAAGGTACTGTGTAAAACTATTAAATAAATAATCCTACATTTTTTATTAAACACTATTTCAAACATGTAATACTATAAAAGAGTGCAAAATATGCATTGTTTGAGGTTATTTAGATTATATATATTTCTGAGGTTTTCAATGAAATATACATTTAGTACGTTCACTTAAGAGTTTTCTTTTCTGAGGTTATGTCAGAGAATTTCAAAGCGAGACAGCTGTACTTTTGTTTTCTAACACTGTATTATCCAGGGCTAAAACCCTGAGCATGAAAGTAAGAATTGATCTTTTGTCTGTTTTAAGTGATCTCCCCAAGGTCCAAATGCTCACTTGGCTGCCATGCGGAGGGCACTCTCTGCATCATGGATGTTCTCCTCCAGTCGACGCTTGTCCTGCTCCAGCTGGGTAAGATGTCTATTGAGCTGACGCAGAGATTGATCTTTTCTTCTCAGCTCCATCTTTGCCTCGGAGAGACTCTGCAAGCAGACAGAAAACAGAGTTACTTGTCAGCCCTGATAATTAACTTCAATTTATGCCATAGGCTATTAAACAAAGAAGAATACAGACTGACTGAGAAGTAGACTTGGGTCATTACACATCAAGGTTTAACAAATTTTCTGCAAAATTTTTACATAATTGCTAATTAGAAATGATAGAGGTGTAAAAGTTCATAAAAATGTCTGGCTATAAAATACAACTTATTTTTAGGTACTATAAGACAAATTGTATTCTTTTAAAAATACCTTATTACTTAAATTGCAAGTCTTTTAATGATGAAAACAAAGATTTCAAGGGACAAAGCACATGAAATTCAGAGTCTATTTAACACTAACTAGAACTAAAGGACCATCAAATACCCAGACAAAGTGTAAGACTGAATAAAAGGTGGACTAGATTACCTAAAAAAGAATGAGAAACTCACTATTCTTCTTATAAGTCTTTTTGTAATAACTTGTTATTCACATCTCAATAGACAAGATTTCAAAATAAAATTCACTTATTTCCCAGTAAATAACTTTCATACTAAGAAGAGCAACATAAATATAACCAACATGCTTTAACTTATAAAGTTAAAAATAGTAATTGCATTTAAAATCTTTGTGATCTATAAATATTTTTTCTAAATGTTTTTCTAAAAAAGTATAAAATCTATTAATTACTACCTGCTTTGATCTGTAATATTTACAAATTTCAAGATGCAAATGTGTAAGTTTATATTGAAAGTTAAGGGGAAAAGGTCTTAGAATTGAAAACAATTTAAAGGAATATTTTCTAGCCCTCATGGAAAATTCTAGGGTCCAAACATTGTAAGAATCAAGTGATCTCCTCAAACTGAAAATCTCCTTGTTCTTATTCCTATGAATTTTTTTAAATAAGCTTACTAAGCCATTTTTCAATTACTTTTGTTTCACAACTAACTGCAAACACATATTTGTCTTCTTTGCGCAGAACTTAGCTAAACAGTAACAACCACAACTATGCTTCGCAAATCCAGTAAACAATAAAAATATTTCTATAATTTCATATTTTAAATTCTTCCAACATAATTTTTAATACATTTACAATATTAGTTTAAAAAGCAAAGCTGCCTACATGGGAATAACTAGTATATGTCTGTGACAAGTAGAAAAGGTCAAAAGTTATGTACATATGACCAGATAAGATGATGTTAAGTGAAATGAACCCCAAGATAGGGACACAAGTGGTTTTTTTCTTTTTTGATATTGCTTCTAATGTATTTATAATGTACCATGTGATTTTTTTGTTTCTTTGAATGTTCCTCCCCCATGATATAATCCCTGTTTTCCTGTATTTGATGTCGGTGCCCTGCATCTTGTATATACACTTTTCTAATTTGGGGAGGGGAAGGGAAAAAACAAAATGCTTAAATAGGGATACAGGTTGACCCACTTAACATTGACATGCACAAGACACTATGTTGGAAAAACAAACTTTACAATTTAGGCGGGGGGAGGGGGGTGGGGGAGTTGGGGGGGTGTAGTTGTGTAGGTGGGAGGGAAGGGATGGCAGGAGAAAAACAAAGGAGGAGTTAACAATGCTGGATAGGAAATGTACTCATTACCTTGCCCATGTAACTGTAACCCCTCTGTACAGTATTTTTACAATAAAAACGTATTAATTTTTAAAGATTTTATTAGTGTATTTTCAGTCAAGTTGCTGTTAGATAAACAAGCATCAAAAAAAAATTAACAAGAAGCTGGGCACTGGTGGCTCACGCCTGTAATCCTAGCTACTCAGGAGGCTGTGATCAGAGGATCACAGTTCAAAGCTGCCTAGTAAAGAAATTCCATGAGACTCTTATTGCCAATAAACCACCAGAAAATCAGAAGTGGCATTGGCTCAAATGGTAGAGTGCTTGCCTTGAGATGAATGGCTCAGGGACAGCACCCAGGCCCAGAGTTCAAGCCCCACAAGCAACCAAAAAGAAAAAAAAATTACAAGAGCCAGGGGCAGATGGCTCCACCTATAATCCTAGCTACTCTGGAAGTGATCTGAGGGATGTAGTTCAAAGCCAGACCAGGCAAGAAAAAGCCCGTGTAATGCTTATCTCCAACTACCCACAAAAGGCCAGAAGTAGAGCTATGGCTCAAGTGGTAGAGTGCTACCATGCCAGTCCACAAGAACAGCACTCAGGCCCTGAGTTCAAACACTGGTACCAGCACAAAAATAAGTAGATAGATAGATAGATAGATAGATAGATAGATAGATAGATAGATAGATAGATAGATAGATGAAATGACTAATTACATATTTAATTTTTATTTTTATTTATTATTAGCAAATCAATAACATTCCTGGATTGATCAATAGGTTCTTTAGATAGAAAGTGCCAGCGTGCTATTGCACAGTAAGATAACTACAAATAATTGCATTGTACAATATATTTCAAAAAGCTAGAGCACAGGATATTGAATGTTTTCACAATAAGAAAATGATACATAGCCAGGCACAACAGGATCATGCCTATTCTCCTAGCTACTCGAGGGGCTGAGATCTGAGGATACTTAGGTGTTATATATTAGTCTAAAATTAATTTCATCTTACAATTTTAAAAAAGCTTTCACCATAGAAATAGTCATACACTCAAACCAACTTTACAAGGCAACAAAGAATGGGTATTTTAACAAGAAATGCTGTACACAGCTATAATTCTAGCACTCTAAAAGATGAAGGATTATAAATTCAAGTCCAGCCTCAGCTACTTCAGGAGACACTGTCTCAAAAAAACAAAAATACTGTAAGCCTATTAATTTTGTTCCAGTGTTAAACTAGTTTAGCTGAAATATTATTGAGATTTTTTTATTTAAAAAAATAAAATGTGCCAGGTGCTGGTGGCTCACGCTTTTAATCCTAGCTATTCAGGAGGCTGAGATCTGAGAATCGTGGTTCAAAGCCAGCCCGGGCAGAAAAGTCTATGAGACTCTGATATCCAATTAACCACCAGAAAATAAAATAAAGTGTATTTGAATCCTTTTAAAGTTGGTATTTCTAACACAGTTCATGCTATTAAAAATGCTGTTTTTCAGATATAAATATCAAAGAAACAATCTGCTACTATTTATGAATAAAGACTGAATTCATCTTCCAATAGAAATCATAAATTTGCATTCAAACTCTCTCAGTCAGTCGCTCTTGTAACTGGAGGCACATATTCCGAAGGGACTCTCTTAGTCCTTTCAGAAGTAGATTGGTATAATGTTGCTAGCATGTCCAGACTGAGGCTTGCTGGTTCAATCTAAGAGAACCCAATATTTTGCATCATTATAAAACCATACTTGACCTGTCAAATATTCCAGTACATTTTCAAAGAAGACATAACTCCATGCATTACATTTTCTACCATATATCTAAATTTTCTTATTCCCCTTCTTATCATATCTTCTCAAAGGAAAAATGACAATGAGCCAAATGATTCTTCTGAAGCTTACACCATTTCAGGGACACAGGAAAGGAACAAAAGGCATAATAACCTAAGCAATAAAACCATACTTCCTTGAATGTGAAAACTAAACATAATACAGTTTTTAAAAATATAACACAGCCTGACATTTAGGCTTGAGGGACAACACGAAGGAATCAATATACACCAATGGGTCTGAAATACATGGAGATGTGTAAAAAGTCATAAAAGGTGGTTCAAATATGTATTTTCCTTAATATTCACTGTTTTGATATGAAAATAGAATCTTTTAGAATATGTAAAAGAAAAATAATCTCTCTGTGTGTATATATATCATGCATATATATCATGCTTACCTATGGATTGTATCGTAGATAAAATATGGACCATATATATAAAATTTTAACTTCTGCATTTCTTTTCTCCTGTTCAGATTCATCTAATTAAAACCTATGATAAACTTCGTAGACTCTAATATTTCCAACCGAATGACTGAAACTAAGAAGGTGTGCCTCTAGGCAGCAAGGCAACAATGATAAGCAGCAGGTTAGCCACTAATTTCTCAACCAGGGTAGATTGTGAAAGTGTGATGTTCTGATATCCAAGAAACTGTTCAGGAGAGAATAGGATAAATCAAGTTTAATAACTCTGCTCCTAATTGTTCCCCCAATGCTCAACTCTAATTACTTGGAGAACTCTCCTGACTGTCACCTGATATTAAGTTGTTGGAGGCTGAGCCTGGAACAGTGAGATAATCAATAAACATTTAGTGGGGAGAAGAATGAAGATCCTGTTAAGCAGTGGGAACCTGCAGCACCCAAAGCCCTTCTGCTCATGAGAAAACCTATGGGACAGCCATAGTGATTGCAAAGCAATAATCCAAAGCACTGTTTTTAGGCCTTGAGGCCTTTAGGCAACAGTACATTTGAGGAAAAAAGGTTAACACGGTCACCCTAATTACAGTCCACTTTCACATACTTCATATATAAGCGAAGACAAGCCAATTAGGTAGAAAGGAAGATAAGGGAAGTTTTATTTGTATACTAATTAAACCCCTGATGAAATTAAAGGAAAAACATACAGCTCTGTAATTGTGTCTGAGAAAGGTCACTTCAGGTTCAGTTATCAGAACAGCACAGCCTTGAGATATTTCACTTAATCCACAATACAGCCCTCATTTTGTACTCAGGTCTTAATATTTACAAAAAAAATCAAAGCCTGATACTGAATTTATCTTTAAACAATTTTAGCTGTTAGAAACTTAATGCTAAATATGATAACAAAAGTCTTAAAATGGTAAAAGTGAAATGCTACATATACTAGAACCAAAGTGTCAATACTATTTATCAGATTTCAGTTTTCATTTTAAACCCAAAATGCTTTAAAGCAATTTTTTAATGACATCCCAAACTGACTGTACTTTTAAAAGTTATCATATTTATACTGTATTTCTGTTCATATAGTGTCGTCTCTGACCTTCTTGTTCATAGTCCAATAGAAAAATGCTGATGCTTTCACTAAACTATTCTTATAAGAATATGTTTACATATGATT